GCAAAGACACGCAGGTCCCAGAAGCGGGGTTCACAGCTCCTCAGGTAAACGCCCTGCCCTCCAGGTCGGGGTGTTCCTGGCTCTGAAGTGGGTAAGGCAACTGCCGAACCGTCAGCAGGCAGAGTGGCTTTTCTGCAGCAGCGGAGAGGCGGGGTAAGGGGGGAGGCCTGGGTGCAGTTGCCGGCCAGGTGGTGAACCTCCCCACCACCTTCTTCGGTGAGTGGCACAGTTACGAGGTGGACAGGCCACACCCTCGGAGCACTGGAAAACCAGCCAGCCTGCCCCAGCTCCCAAGGGAGGGTGATCCCAGCTCCCATCCCGACAGACCCAAGACTCACTCTGGCAGGAGCACCCAAGCCTTCCTCCTCCTGAGCCTTTGTCACTGAGCCGCCCTGCCCCCTCCTCAGCTCTCCGTGTTTTCTTCTGCCCGCAGCTCATTACAGGTGTCCAGCAGACAACCGAGAGGCATAATCAGGCCTTCATGGCTCTCGAAGGGCAGGTCATTTCCAAAAAGCTCCACGCCAGCATCCGAGAGAAAGCGGGCCACTGGTTCGCCACCACCACGCCCATCATCGGCAAAGGCATCATGTTCGCCATCAAAGAAGGACGGGTGACCACCGGCGTGTCCAGCATCGCCAGCGAGGACAGCCGCAAGGTGGCCTCCGTGCTGAACAACGCCTACTACCTGGACAAGATGCACTACACCATCGAGGGCAGGGACACCCACTACTTCGTGAAGATCGGCTCGGCCGACGGCGACCTGGTCACGCTGGGCACCACCATCGGCCGCAAGGTGCTAGAGAGCGGGGTGAACGTGACCGTGTCGCAGCCCACGCTGCTGGTCAACGGCAGGACTCGAAGGTTCACCAACATCGAGTTCCAGTACTCCACGCTCCTGCTGAGCGTCCGCTACGGCCTCACCCCCGACACCCTGGACGAAGAGAAGGCCCGCGTCCTGGACCAGGCCAGGCAGAGGGCCCTGGGCACCGCCTGGGCCAAGGAGCAGCAGAAAGCCAGGGACGGCAGAGAGGGCAGCCGCCTGTGGACGGAGGGCGAGAAGCAGCAGCTCCTGAGCGCGGGCCGCGTGCAAGGGTACGAGGGCTATTACGTGCTCCCGGTGGAGCAGTACCCCGAGCTGGCAGACAGTAGCAGCAACATCCAGTTTTTAAGACAGAACGAGATGGGAAAGAGGTAACAAAATAACCTGCTGCCATTCCTCGTCCGGATGGCTCAGCGGGAGTGACTGTTATCTCCTCTCCTAAGGAGATGAAGACCTACCAGGGGCACTAAGGCCGGGCTGCTTTAGGATACCCAAGTGGCAAGAAGGCTCACATTTTTTGAGTTCAAATGCTACTGCCCACGCGAGAAGTCCCACCTCCTGAAGTAGACTCAAGCCCGGCCGCGAATTCCTGAGGAAAACAGAACACACGAATGAATGAACGGACACACGACACGGTTCCAAGTTCCCCTAAGATATGACCCACTTGTTCTGGGTCTTCACGGCTAAGAGACGCGACGTGTCCAAAAGGAACAGAAGAACACAACACACACACACACAACACACACACAGAAAACAAAAACAAACACACCGACCGAAAAACAAAGACATGAAGACGAGATGGCCTCATGTTCTATTACCTCACTCATTCACACGTGAGCGACGCACAGACATCCATCCGTGAGGGCCAGCGTCACCGGACCAGCTGAGAACAGATTCAGACTGCTTGTTGGACAAAAACTACAGACATTTTCCTTTCAACAAATACAGGTGCATTTAAACCACGACTTTGGGGGTGATTTGTGTGTAGCGACTGGGGTGGGGGGGGATAAAAGTGAAAGAGTGAGCACTGGAAATACTTTTTAAAGAAAAAAAATATATAGAAAAACACGAGGGAAAAAAAAAGAAGGAAATTCATATCGAAAATCAAAGCGAAATAATACCGTTCAGCACTTAACTCTCAGGTCCCAATTTAGTCTCGGCCTGAGCTAATTTATTTGAGCGCAAGAGTGTAAAATTTAATTCCAATGGTGGCTATACTCACTACAGATCAATTTCATACTCTTTTGTCTTTGAAGATTCCATTGTGGACAGTAATACACAATTACAGGGTGTAGTCTGTTTAGATTCCGTAGTTTGTGGGTATCAGTTGCAGTAGAGGTGTGGCATCGTGACACTCTTTTGCTAACGGGCACCACTTCAGATCACCCTGTACATACATAAGCCTCAAGGCACAATCACTGTTTGAGATTTTAAATTATTAGTGTGTTTGTTTGGTCCAGAAACTGAGACAATCACATGACAGTCACCACGAGGAGAGAGAATAAAAAAAAATTTAAAAACCCACAAAAACAACAAAAAAAGTTTAAAAAAAGAACAAAAAAAGTCTAATAAGAACTTTGGTACAGGAACTTTTTTGTAATATACATGTATGAATTGTTCATCGAGTTTTTATATTAATTTTAATTTGCTGCTAAGCAAAGACTAGGGACAGGCAAAGATAATTTATGGCAAAGTGTTTAAATTGTTTATACATAAATAAAGTCTCTAAAACTCCTGTGGACACTGGTCTTCTGTGGAAATGCTTTGAGGTGAGGGCAAAGTCAAAGTTTCGGGAGAAAAGGGGACCTGTCAGGACGCACAGGCAGAGATGGAGTTTTGAACGTTTGGAGGAGATTTTGTCAGAGGCACCTCCTGTTCCCTGAACTGCTCTACATTCTAGACTGATCACTGCCTCCGTCTGCAGCCCCTGCTGTGCACGGAGCAGAGGTGAGAAGGAGCAGGGGGGGACCTGGGGTCATGAGGACCCTCAGGCCCATCAGTTCCCTGACAGGTCTTTCCAGCCCTCCTGGGACAGTCTCCCTGCTGCCACGTTCTAGTCCTGGAAGGTGCTGGCGGGAAACTGAAGGCAAACACCCTCACAACACGGGGGAAACATACATGCGTTCGTGTGGCTCTGTGTGGGCGTGCCTATACATGTGTTATTTCCTTCCAGACTAGATCACTTTACCCCAAAACTTGCACGCTCAGGGCTATGTAAGAACTTCACTTATGATTTGGATGAAATTTTCCCCACCAGTCTTCCAGTCAGAATAATAGCAGCATCATTAATAGCTCATAGTTATGGATGCTGACTACATGCCAAGAACAGTGCTAAGTTCTCTAAACACAATATTTCCTCACCTTTAATTCATTCAAAAACATTATTTTGAGAGCTTGCCCTGTGTCAGGTCCTGTGCTACGTTCTGGGGATAAAGGAGGTGAGCAGACATAACTAGGGGCCCTCACCTCATAAGACTTACAGTCAGGGCTGCACACAGCAAACAGTCAAATAATTACACTAAGAAGTGAAAATGACATGGATGTTAAGTGCCAAGAAGGAGAGATTTACAAAGCTATGGAAGTACATAATTGGGGCTGTCACCTAGACTGAGAACATAAAGGAAGTGACAGGTCTGAAAGTTAAGGAGTTAACCAGGTGAAGACAAGGGAATGCTTCCTAGACCCAGGGAACCGTATGTGCAAAGGGACTGTGGTCACATAGCCACTTGGGCAGGAAAACAGAAGAGGTTGGCAGGGTTCAGAAGACTCACCTATTAAAGACTGGATTTTTTTTCTAACTAAAAACAAGAGGGAGTCAGCTTTAATTTCATAAACAAGTCCTCTGGATGCAGTGTGGAAGACAGGTAGAGGGGCTGATGTGGCCAACTGTGTGAGACGACGAGGCTGGTGGCCTTCAAGGAAGAAATGGAAGTTAACTGAGTAGACAGACTGCAAGGACAAGCTCCTAGTATCATTCACTTTGCAGGAAGAAACTGAGGCCACTTATCACCCAGCTGTAAGTGGTGGAATGACTCAAACATAGTTGTGGCTGATTTCAAAACCTTTCCAGGAAGTCTGAGTGGCATGTCACCCTGAGACCCTGCAAGTGCTCTGAGTCACCGCTGCCTTCTGGTCATCTCTCCAGGCCAGGAGTATCTTCCCCAGGTGGAAGGAGAGGTGCGGAGAGGCCAGGCTAACCTGCTTCATTCATACCCGGTGTCAGACCCCATGGGCCCTATAATCAGCAGAGCAAGCTCTGAGTTAGTAAAGCGAACAGGAGAACAAACACACTCCGGACAACTTCCTCCTCGGAAGCACGTGTGCATACCGTGTTTTCCCCAGGGGAGTTGGGGCCGTTGCCCTCCAGGATAGGACGTAGGAGACAGCGCCTCCCGTGTGCTTTGGTCCACGGTCTGGTTTAATTCAACTGGTGTCAGGACTCCTTGGATACGCACTCACAGAAGCCTCCAGCTGGTGGGAGACCAGCTTGAATCCCAGTTTGGTGGGAACCACCTGGGGACTAACTACTGTGGCTAACTACTGTGATGTTTCTCCCTGGGGTGGATGCAGCCAGTGGGGCCAACCAAGACAGGGAGCGGACCTCAGGCAAGAAGGCAATGCGCGTGCGCCCAGCCCAGAGCTCCTCTGCCCCATCCAGCCTCTTTGAGGGCGGGGCAGGGGACAGGCAGACCCAAAGGGGTGGGTGCATGGTGCGGCACTCGGGGAATCACATGTCTCCAGAGTTTCCCTTGAACATGAAACTCTCCTTCATGCCAACCATCTTTGAATTACCCGTGAATGTTCTGTTATACCCAGGCCAGCCCAGCCCCTCATGATACACACACACACACGCACAAACTCATGATATGGGAGGAGACAGTCTTAAAGTAAAAAAAAAAATCCTCTCCTGCCTCCCCCCAAGCCAGTCCTAGAAGGACAAGGATGCAATGCCTGACCTCTTCCAGAAGTATCTGCACATTGACAGACAATTCCTGGAAGACTTCTCAGGGGCTAAGACTGCGCGCTTTGAAGTCAGCCCGACGGGAACAGATCCTACCTCGACCGCTCATGAAACACAGGACTTGGGAAGGCGACATGTATTAATCACGATAAATAACATTAGCTACTATAAGAGATAAAGCCAATGTAAATTAACACAGAAAAAGCTGACTCCACTCACCTCCATTGTGCATCGGCGATGGGAAAGGCTCTGCTCCAGCTCAGGGCCCCAGGCTCCTTCCATCTCATGGCTCCACCTTCTTCCAGGTCCTAGGAATCTTCAAAGTCCTCTCCGTTCGACTGGCTGATGGAGAAAGAGATCCAAGATCACAAGTGCAACTATTGTATTTTTAATGGGCCACACCTAGCAGTGACACATATCACCTCCACCCACATTCCATGGGGCTGCATGGACCCACCTACTGCAAAAGAGACTGGAAAATGTAATCTGACTATGAATCTAGGAAGAGTTAGAAACTGGAGACGGGGGAGTCCCAGCAGTCTCTGCCACCTAACTCCACATCTCTGAGTCTCGGAGTCTCCGAATCCTCACCTGGAAATAAGGGCGGGTGAGAACAGGGCTGTGATGATGATTAAATGAGATGGTGCATATATCACGGACACATCATAAGTACAGTAAATGTTTTTATGAATTTTACACCATTGCTCCAAGCACAGATTTTTCTAAGAGTGGAACTCGCCGCATGACTGATCCGACGTGCGGGAGAGATTTTCTGCAGGCGTAGGGGAGGATGGAGGAAGATCTTCCCTCAGATCCCGCTCCACGCTGCCCCCCCAGCCCACCCCCCCCCGCCAGCCCCAGGGCACGTGAACAGGCGCTCTCAGCGTAAGAGCGCTGCTCAGCGGCCTCAAGGGCTTTCCAGAAAGGATGACACTGGGGGAGCTGGACATCTGAGCAATGTGAAGACTGGCTACCTAAGAAGGCATCCATCCAGTCCTCCGTCAGCATTCCCAAGTCACCCAGCGCAATGTTGTCCTGGGCACCGTCGGAAGCTGGGAATACGAAGCGAAACGAAACGTGGTCCAAAATCTCACAGTCTAAGGTGTGAGGACAAGCGCACAAGCCAACCAGTGGTGACACCAAGGGCTCACCGGGGGGCACAGAAGTGAGGCACAGAAACGTGAGGGCGCGGCGGGGTGGGGCAGGACCACGAGTTCCGACCACGAGCCTCAGAGCTGGGTACTCACAGGTAGGAGAGCGCGGGGCGACAAGGTGGGAGGGCTGCCTGGACCGAGGGGTGCGCGTGGGCTGCAAGGGGAGAAGACACACGCAAGCCGGCGGCGGGGGAGAGACGTTCAGAGGGACCGGAGCAATGGCGGCGGCTGCGGCGGAACCCTGTGCGGAGCTTTCTGAACCATGACCTCCAGGGCCCGGGCCAATCAAATCAACCCGGGGCCTCGAGGGGGCGTGGCCTGGCCCGGGTTGGTGTAGGAGCTTCCCCAGGTGATTCGAACGTGCAGCCAGGGCTGAGGAGCACTGATTGAAGCCAAACGGGAGGCACGTGGCCTGAGATCGCCGTGGCAGGAACGAGAGTCAGGCTGAGCAGCTAGATAGCCGCCCCCTGCACGCCGTGGGGAGAAATATGTTAGGAAATCCTTCGATTAGCAAAGTGGATTGTGGAGAGGGTAGAGAGAACGGAACCAGGGGGACCGCAACAGCCCGAATGTAACAGACCAGGTGAGGACACAGGATTAGCTGCACGTGTGAGAACAAGGTTCCGTAACTCCGTCGGAGTTGAGGGCAGTGTCTGTAAAGGGTAGAACACTGTGGGAGGATCCAGTCCCCCAAGGTCCTGGGGCGCCTGCAGGGGAAGTGTCTTATACATCAACATGGCCCCTCCCGACCCCCACGCAGGTAAAAGGACCAATGCCTCGGGAGGAGGGTTTAAGGAGTCAAACCTAGGCTTACCTTCAGGAATCTTCTGACGGGCCGGAGTCGGGACTTTGCAGAAAAGTTCTGATCCACTGTGCCCACATCCAACCCCCAACTTCCATCCTGAGGCAGCTAAGGACCTCGAACCCTCCCTCCGACGCCCAGGCTGGCCCTCTGGCTGTGGAGCAGCCCTCCAAAAGCAAGTCTGCTCCAGCTGGCGTCTCTTTGCAAAGCCCCACCTTCCCAAGCCCTCACGTCCTCCTGGTAAATGGTGTGCTTGCTATTTAGCCACAAGGTGGCAGCCTTTTCCCATAAAATCTTCCCGTGCCTGAGCGCCCCAGGCTGGCTTAGTATAAATGTTAGGCAGATAAGACACTGAGATGCAAGATACCCCATGAGAGCCCTGGGCCCAAGGGAGAATCCTGGGCTCTGAAAGAGGCCCCTGGAATTGGTTCCAGGAAGCAAGATTCCAGAGAAGATCTGCCCTGAGAACAGCCAGACTGGTATCTGAGCCCAGCTCCACCATTTACTCTCTGGGTAAGTTTCCAAACAAAACTTCCCCTCTCTGAGCCCCACTTTCCTCATTTGTAAAATAGAGGAAAAAACACTTTATAGGATTGTTTGAAAAGACTCACAAAAATAATAAATGCAAAGTGCCTGTCAAGTGCAAAACAGATTTAAAGGGTTGGGTTTTTTTTTAACTCCGAAGCCCATCACCCAAAAATGTTCCACTATTTTCCTTTAAAAGTGGCTTTTAAATTCTAACTGCTCCCCTTCTAGCTAAGCCTGGGTTCTTTACCTGACCTCTGAAGCCTCAGTTTCCTCCCCTGGGAAATAGGTGTGATAAGCCCATCTCACAGAGTTGCTGTAACAAACGTCCTGTCTAGGGCCTGGCACCTGGGGATGGTTATTCATTCACCACTCTTGGCCTATGAGGCCTGAAGTTTGGGCCCCTGTCCTGAGACTAGCTGGACATAGTCCCAGTCCTGCAGCTTGATCTGTCAAGGAGCAAAGGTCCCCACCGACCCCTCCAGCCTCCTCCCATGTAAACTACATAAAGCTATAGGCGTTTGCTCGGCTAGCTGGCCCTGGGACAGGAGGAGGGAAGAAGCAACGCCTGTACCCCATAGGAACGTTTGATCCAGTGGCCATCCTGCCAAGGAGTGAAACAGGAGCATCTTGCTGGGGTCCCTTACCTGGGTTCTTGGTTATGAGAATAATGGAGGTAGGACCTCCTGGCCAGCTCCATGGCCCTCACCAGGACTCCAAGGTCCCCAGGCCTGAGCAGGACAGACCAAATCTCCTCTTGTCCCCCCACCCCACCCACCTTTAGTCCTCCATGGGGATGGCCACCTTCATCGGGCACTCCCCTCCGTCCTTTCCCCTTGCCAATTGCACTTCTGTCCTTCCAATGGCTCTACTCCCTGGTCCCCTTTGCCCCAATTCCAGTGGCTGTGAAAGTTATCAAACCCTTTCACCCAAATTAATTGATTTTATTTGAATTTCACATCCTCTCAAGGAGACACTCAGGAGCAGATGAGAAACTGAGACTTAGAAAGGCCAAGTGACCAGGTAAAGTCACACGACAGGCCTTCCTATGTGGCTGGACTTCCCCTCCTGTTCTCAGTCTACTATCTCATTATTTCCATTGCCAGGCCCCTCCCTCAACAACCCCCGATCTTAGTGTTATCTCGGCCCAATGCCTGTGGGTTTTATTCTAAGGCAGGAGCCACTGGCCTGAGAATTCTGCCCCATTGGCTGTAAGTCAGCCACATGAACATTTGTCCTGTCAGAGGCTCGAGTTGAGAGGGGGTGAGAAGAGGATCACAGGTTGGCTTTGCCGCCAGACAGCATCACCATGTTAATCAGGATACTTGTGATGGTGACAGAACTCCCAATGGAAAACAAAAACCGGGAAGTCCAAAGGCATGACTGACTTCCAGCATGGTTGGATCCAGGGGTTCAAAAGATGTCTTTGCTCCACCTCCAGTTCTGCTTCTCTTGGCATACGGCCTTATTCCCAGATGTGCTTTCTCCACATGTGGGAATGATGGTTGCTAGCAGCCCCAAACCTACATCCTTGCAGCACTCAAGGAGACAGCAGAGAGCTCCTACCTCTGACTCACAGAAGACCTCGAGTTGTCCCACATCCCTTCCAGGGGTGGAGAGGCATGTAAAGAGAGGGACTGCGTGGTTCCCCCAGGGAAGATAAATGTCTAGACAAAAATGTGTTAGCTGCTCATATATCCACTGAGATCATGCATTTGTTGACTCTGTCAACAGCATGCCCATACATCTTAGGTGTTTGGTTGATAAAGCCAGGTGCTGGGGAGCCAAGGATGAGAAAACACAGCCATCCGGGAGCAGTCGGATGGGGAACAGCCACCAGCAAATCAGCAACAGCAATTTGACTTGAAAATGCCAGGAAGAGAACCGTGCAGGGCATGATGAGAACACAGAGGGTGGGGAAGCAGTAATTCAGCTTTGGTGGGGATTGGGAAGGAAGCACACGGGCACAGATAGTGCATGGGGAAGATCTAGGTTAAAACTTAATAGCCAAGAAGACACCCAGCCCATCAAGCCTTCTTGCTCAGGTTCTTGCGCACCCCACCCCCGCCCCTCTGAGGACACCAGGGGCCTTCCCTGCCTCCGGGAAGGCAGGAAGCCTCTTTCCAACACCAGCCTGGAGAACCTGTCTCTGGACAGAACTGGGCAGGGGGTGGTGGTGGTGCAGGGCTGGGTGTCACTGCTCCTTCACTCTGGGTCCTCACTCCCTCCCTCCACGCATGGGGAGCAGGACTTCCTCTCAGTGTCAACCACGTTCTGTCAGCAGAGCTCATTCTGCTCATCAGACCAGCCTCGGCTCCTGTCCAGGAGTTCCCCTTCTGGGAACGTGGACCTTTGGGGTCAGGTGGCTCTGTGGTGGGGCCATCGTTTGCATGGCGGGGTATTCACTGGCATCTCTGGCCTCTTTGCACTAGATGCCAGTAGCGCCCCCTGCCCAGCTGTGACAACCCTCTAGACATCACCAGCTGTCCTCTGGGGAGAGAAAGCTGCTCTCAGTTGAGAACTGCTGTTCTAGTGCCTTCTCTGCCCCCTCCTCCCTCATCTCTCCTTGCCCCCAGACCCCAGCCTTTGGGAGGGGGAAGCCTCTGCCCTCCAGTTAGGCAGGTTAATTCCCCCTAAGGTGACATTTATCAGTACTCGCCCACGTTCATCCAGGGGACCTCCGACCCCCAACCCACCCCCACCTCCACCCCTGGCCATGCCAGGGGTTCTGGAACTAAGGACTGAGTCTCCACCCTGAGTCTCCTCTTCCAGGTCCCACCACTCAGGAGCCACAACTCAGTAGCCAAGTTCATGTAACAAGTGTGGAGGCGAGAACTGATTGATTGTTCGCCAGCCCCCAGCCCTCCCAGGGCCTCTCCCCACTCCTCCCAACTTCCCCATCCCGAGGAGCTGCCCCTCGGGGGAGGCAGCAACGCTGAGCACTGCAGACCGAGCAGCTGCAGGTGTGAATGAACAACGTGATCCAAACGAGACAGTGACAAGTGGAGAGGACTCTGGGACCTCTCAAGGGCCTTCCTTGGGGACCTGGGCAGGACGCTAGGGCCCGAGATGACAGGGGAATCTTTTATTTCCTCCGTCCCACCCTGTCCCTGTGCCACGGGTCACATCGCCCCTTGAAAAGGAGCATCTTGGTTGACGATACCCAGCATTCTCTGGGCAGGGCCTGAGCACGCAGCCATGGAATGTGTGGCATTTTTAGAAAGAAATACTAGTTGATGTGCATCTGTGCCCATCAGGGTGGCTTGGAGGAGGGGATGTTCTTAGGGGCACAAATCTGCCAGGCTGTTTTCCTCCCTTCTGACATTGTTAGAACCTCCACTGGTTGGGTGTGTCTTGAATCCTGCAGTTCGAGCATCCTGACGCCAGTGACGTTGGGGTGAAGAGAGAGAGGACAGGCCAGGGAAGGGCACATCCTACAGCTTCAGCCGGGACAGGTACTGTGGACTGTGTTGTGAGGGGTGGGGCGCCAGGCACAGGGTCCACACCAGGTGCTGCGCCGTGCACTGGGAGCGTGTAGAGTTGCAGCACACAGTGCGTCTGCCTGTGTGCGGGGGAGCACGTGGTGTGTGCCCAGGTGAGTACTGGCTTATGCACGCGGGCACAATTCCCAGCGTGGGCTACGTGGAGAAGGAGCACGTGGCAGGGGGGCAGTGTGGGTGGATGGGTGGGTGAGTGTGTGACACACTGCACGAGCCGGGATAAGGCACAGTGCAGGCTTCAAGGGGGTGGGAAGGACTGCATGCAGGTCCAAAGACGCCGGGGTTGAGTGAAGGTGTCGTAGAGTGTGTGGCATGGTGACATACATTGTGGGGGGAGGGCACGGGATGTGACTTGTGGAAACGCGGGAACAGTGGGAGAACAGCAGAGCTCAGCTGTGTGTGCAGGAGCAGCCGCACCAACACTGCAGCACTGTGTGGAGGTGTTTATCTCCATTTTCACCGCGCACACACACACACACACACACTTCTCCCTGCGCCGAGGAGAGATCGGAGGTGCAGGTGGAGTGACACTCAGCACAGGACATACACTATATATAGGAAAGTGCAGTAGAAAGGCCACTTTATCCACCCTCCTTTCACCTCGTAGGACCAGACAATGGACAGTCTTTCCTCCCAAGAGCATACCTGGTGAAAAGGATTTTAGCACAAGCTTTGGAATCAATGATTTGAGTTTGAACCCTGCTTGACCACATACTTGCTACAGCCTAAAACAAATCCTAAACCTCCCTAAGCCTCAGCTTCCTCATCTGTAAAGTGGGGAGAAATAATGCTACGTGCCTCCTGCGGTGACTATGAGAATTAACTGACATCCACGGGTAAAGCGCTTACACAGAGATGAGAGTCCCAAATGTTGGCTCTTGTTAACTGTAGGACACAGAAGACATCACTCAGCACCAACTCAAAGATGCCCGCGGGGCAGAGCACCTAGGCTCGGTGAAAGGCTCAGCTGTCCTACCGGAGGGCAGAATCATTGCCCTGAAGGCCCCCCCACCTCGTTGCAACCCTCACCCCCTGCTGGAAGCCCTCGTGTTACTCTCCTGCAGGAAGCTTGACAGTGGGGAAGGACTGAGGAGCCAGCTCATAAAGAAATGAGATTCCCATTCAGGGCACATCCTGTGCATGGACTAGAACTGGGGGGAACAGGAAGGAGACCAGGCTGAAG